TTGATAGTGCTTCCCTCCAGTTGTTTTTAAAAATAACTTTGTAGCATTTTGCCCTTTTTCTGGCTCTTAAAAATCCATTTAATTGGAAGTTGTTTCTTTTGTGCCAAAATATGTGGCTGTTCTATACATTTTAAATGTGAATTGTATAATTGGCCTTTCCATGGGTAAAAGAAAGTCTATTCATTCATGCCTCTAATTTCTTACATGCAAAATTATTACTCCCTTGGGTATCATAAAAATAGCTTATGTAAAATATTACCTTCTGAACTGAATTGAAAACATACTACCAAACTCATTAAGAACATAAAAAATTTGGGATGGTGCCAAAAGGTATGACTAAGCAGTGCTTTTCAGAATGTCACGTGTCTCATGAGCTATTGTCCGATTCTTCCTTACACACACATATCACCCTGTGTTCCCAGTCGTGCTCCAGATAATACTGAGGACAAGACTAAGATTTGGTTCTAACGCACTATGAAATCATTAAACAGAGGGCAACTGCAAAAAAAAAATCCAAAATTACTGTTATTAATTCTTATTGCTTCTAATACACTCATAAAAACTGCAGGCATATCAGTGAAAATCGCTATCAAAATCCATAGGAAGAGTTCTAAACAGATATTGGTGTTCTTAGTTTCACAATGCTTAATTAGCTCAGGCTGTGTTTAATTTTCTAACTAAGACTCACAATTTAAAATGCACCTTAGCTCTGACAAAATATTTTAAAAAGGAAACAAATGTTACTCACAGCTAGCTTTTCAATTTCAGACACTGCATATCTACTTGTTAGGAAAACCATATCTATAATATTCATAACTGGAAGTAATTCAAGAGGGGGAAGCTTTTTACACAAGTTTTATATTTGGAAATACAAAGGGGGAAGAAAACAACGGAACCATACTATTTACTTAAATACACAGACGTATGTCTAGAGATTCATTTTAGCAACACTAGTGAGTTATTAATATCTATTGTACTAAAATAATAGACAAGGCAAGCCCTGAAGTTTGATGGCAGAGTTGGGATTAATCTAACAAGTATTCATTATGATTTAATTATTAGCAGCTGCCTTGCATACAGGGCTAGAGTATAAATAAGGATCAGAGGGCACAACCTTCAGCTATTATCAGATGCACTGAACTTGGCTGTAATCCCAGTCATCTTTACCCCAGGATGATACAAAGGAAATTACTCCTATTTTATATCAGTGTGAGATAAGAATCAAGCCCATTGTCATTAATTTAATGAACCAGACTAGATTTTAAAATATTAGCACTGGTGTAAACTGTATCAGTTTCATTACTCCAGTGCACGCCGCGGAAACAAGTATGCTGCACCTGTATGAAGTGAGGTTAAACTAGGTTACCTTAATCACAAATTGCCCACCTACAGAGAAAGTAGCATCTGTTTAACTTAAAGCATGATTTTAAATCAGGGGTGGGCAAAATACAGCCTGCAAGCCAGATCCAGCCCATGAGGTCATTCTATCTGGGCTGCGGGGCCCCTAAAAAATAATATTTATCTGTCTTTGGTTCCTGTCAAAAATGACAGAAACCAGGGGCAGTAGGACCCAGCAGAAGCCCCAGTGGGCTTCCACAACAGCAGGGCCTCCCGGGTCCTGCCCCACAGCTGGAAGCCCCAGCAGGGGCTTCTAGCCTGGGACCATGTGACTGCACCACAGCAGTAACTCAGGTAAGGGGGGGGGCAGGGGAGGAACCTGGGGAAAAGTGGCCCCTCCCCTGCCCCATGGATGGTGCTCCCTGCTGCAACCACTCTCAGCCTGCATGGGGCTGTCGTAAGCAAGTGCAGGCAGCCCCACGCGAGTTGTGAGCAGCTGCAGCATGGGACGCCAGCCACGGGGCAGGCGAGGAGCCCTTTCCCCCCAACCCCGCACTCAGCACCAGCTTGTAACCCACCCCTGCTGCCAGCCTGGGCCCCACGCCTGCTGCAGGCTCCCCCATCGGGGCTGCACGTGGCGGCAGCAGCTGCAGCCCCACTGCTTGGTGTGCCAGGCAGTGTTTGCTGTTGCAGCCCTGGAGCTTGCACACTGGGCAGCCCAGAGGCGGCAATAGCGAACACTGCCTGGTTCAGCAAGCGGGGAGGCTGCAGCTGCTGCCACTGTGCACAGCCCCGACGGGCAAGCCCAGAGCCAGTGCAAGGCCCAGGCTGGCAGCGGGCATGGGTTACAAGCTGGTGCTGAGTACAGGGGAGGAAAAGTAGCCCCTCCCCCACCCTGTGGCCAGTGCTGCACACTGCAGCTGCTTGCAGCCCACATGGGGCTGCCTGTGCCTGCTCAGGATAGCCCACGCAGGCTGTGAGCAGCTACAGCAGGGAGCGCTAGCCACGGGGCAAGGGAGGGGCCACTTTTCCCCGGGCTCAGCACCAGCTCATTCTTTGCCAGGGAGCAGGGGCTTGGGGCTGCACGCTGTTCCCTGCCTGTACCATGGGGCTGGGGGGCAGTGGGAGTGAGCCGGTGTATGGGGCCCAAACTGGTGTCCCGGGGCCAGTGCTGACGGGGCCCAGAGCAGGGCGGCAGGGGTACAGGGTCCCAGCTGGCAGGGGTTCTATAGAGCCAGGCCAGCACCCCCCTCTCCCTGCTGGTGCAACCCAGCCCAGGTTCACAGACCCCTGCCAGCCTGCACCCTGCTCTGAGCCCCTTCAGTGCTGGCCCTGGGACATTGGGCCCAAGATGGTGACCAGGGGGTGGAGCACCTGTCAAGGGGCATGGTTACCCATGTGGCCCTCAACAGCTTGCCAAAACTTGGTGAGCAGCCCTCCACCTGAAATAATTGCCTGCCCCTGTTTCAAATGGATTTACTATAAAGTGCTACAAAAGGCTATGTGGCCATTCTTAGAACAGGTTTCCGCTTCATGATGCAGGCTTCTGTAAAGATACTGGAGCTGGAGCTACTCCTTAAGAAGCACGTTTGCTACTGCACCTTTCAGTACTATAACACACTGGATGCACCTAGACAAGATACTTACTGTGCAGTAGCTCGTTACTACTGTGTAGTGGCGTCTCCAGGCAAGAACCTGATGCGATGATACTGCACAGTAGTAAGGAGCTACTGTGCAGTAAACATCATCAGGCAACCATGCCAGGACACTACTGCACAGTAACGCCAGATACTGTGCAGTCATGTAGTATTTCGTTTTACAAGTACTAAATGACTCACTGTGTAAGCAAAACCTTGCTTTATAGCTTAAACCAGGTTCCTTTCAATCTATCTTAAATCAGTTCCTTGTCAATTATGTAGACAAAGTTCTTTGGGTAAATCTGATATATTTCATTAGGTCAACTAAATAGTTGGAAATACTATTTTTTCAACTATTTAGTTGGTCTAACAAAAGATATCAGATTTATTCAAAGAACCTTGTCTATCTGTCTCCTTAGACCAACACGGCTACAACCTACACCCTTGTCAATTACGTTAAACTTCAGGTAGCCCTGATTTATACCTAAATAAAGAAGTTGTTACCAGGAACTTAAATACATTTAAAGAGCCCTTAAACCAGAAAGGTCCACACATTATGGCAGTAAACAAATGCTATGGGCTCTCTGAGCACCTTAGGGATAACCTCTTTCATCGAGTATTATCTCTAACTGGTTTTGGGCAACTCGTGTCACACATGACTACTCCACAGGCCCAAAAACAGTTGAGAGGGGTCCTCCAGCACCCCAGGAGGCACCTCCTAGCCTCTCTATCTTCCCCCAGTAGGGGAGCACCTAAAAATAAGAATCTCCCCCCTTCCCACTCCCATTCTGTGGGGCTGCTCATACCAGGTGCTAATTTTAACATGAACTAAAGTTAGCACATGCTATCTATAAAGTATAACTATACCCTAAAACAACCCACACAGCCTTTTACACTGGTTTTAAAAATAATAAAAGGTGCAAACTTTTGTATAAGCAAGAATAAAATAACCAAGTTAAATAAAGTGGATTAAACTTCACCTTGTGGCAATGTTGTGTATCAATACTAGAGCTTTCCATTAGTCACCCCATGTAGGTATCCTTTTCTAAACACAGAAGAAACCTTTGAGCTTGTTTACAAAAGAAAGTTGGACTGGTTTAAATAAAAGAGTAAATATAAAAAGACTGAGTAAAACCAGTTTGAAACCCCATGTGGAAGCACTTTTGATATGAACCAATTTCATTTTGATTGAGCATAACTTGGTTAGGAATCAGTGGCCATATCTATACAAGATAACTTACATACACAAGTACTAAATGACTGCACAATAACTGGACAGTTATTGTGCTACTGCACAGTAGCATCTTCAAACAGCTTTTTGGTGACACTGACTGTGCAGTAGCTCATTACTAATCTGTAGTAGCGTTGCATCATGCTTTGTGCCACACAATGGTACTGCACAGTAGTAACGAGCTACTACAGAGTAGTAATGAGCTGCTGAGCGGTCAACATCTCGCGCAGACATGTCCAGTTTAAACTAAGCTGAACAAGCACTCTTTAAACCAAAATAAAAGCGTCTTTGCAAGGTTTTGCACTAGTTTAACTATGACAGCTTAAAAATCAGTTGGTTAAAATGGTCACATTTCCTCAGTTAAGCATATGCAAAGATGTTAACAGAAAGCCCATTAAGATCTACATTTGGTGCCCAGAAACCTTCCATTTGGAGCACTATTTTGCACGTGATGCAAAGGTGAAAACATTTTCACTGGCCAAATTATTGTACATGTATGATTTGCAGCTGGTTGAAATTTAACCTTGCGTGTGGCAATTCAGACAGGATGAGGTAATTACAGGACTTTGTTTAGAAGTCCAAAATAAGACTAAATAAAATATTTTCCCAACCTATAGCGCCTTAGATCCAAGGACTTCAGCTAACTAACCAGAATTAGAATATTTACTTTAATTTAAAATTGATGCTTTTGAGAAATTTTAGTTTCATTAAAAGATTTTTTTAAAGAAAGAATACAATGACCAACTCAGAAATTTCTGTATGATCCAATGGTCATGTATGAGCTGATAAAATTATTTTAAAAGCCCCAAATGAGTGGTTATCAAGCTTTGAAACAACTTTGAACTATATAAGAGGGACTTATCAAACACATTACAGCTGCATCAACATCTCAAAAGGTGTTTATTAGGTTTAACTTACATGTGGCAAAATACTCTGAGGCTATTCCTGACCAGGAAGCAGGAGAAATATCACAAGTACTCTACATTCTCATCTGATGTCCGATCTTGTTTCTAGATCAAAGATGTTAATATTTTAAGCTTCAACATTAGAATACAAATGGCTTGGGAACCACAGATTCCAAAGGTACAGTGTATTGTACCTCCTAAAGGACAGGAAGAAATATAGGGCAAGATCCTAAAAGCTGCTCCCAGTTGAGACTATTACGGCTGTCTGTAGGCATGTCTTACTTGGAGCAGCTTGCAAGCTTAGGAAAAAAACAAATATAGTTCAGCCTACTGCACCAACAAATCAGCATGCCCACTTTATTTCCTATTCTACTTGTTCTTTCTATTAAATTTGAATAAGATACAAGGACGGTCATTCAAAAATGTCTTATTAAAAAAAGACACTGGCAGATTAACACTCATGTTTAAAAGATGTCCTCATCTGAATTACTAACACCCAAAGACTTCTTGATATATGTCCTAAATGTTTCTAAAGTGCTGCACATTTTTACAAGGGAAGAGTAGCTTTTTTTTGCCTGCTGATTTTGTTTTCTCCAGGAGCAGCTTCCCAAAAGATCTCTAGCTGTCATTAATATTATTAACTCATTCAGATGGCTCAGTTTCCACCTCAGTGGGTGTGTCTACACATTCATTAAAGCATTTGCTACTCTGCATCGTTTAGTACCTCTAATGTGAGGTACTAACTAAATGCACAGTAGCAAAAGCACATGCTTTTTAAGTGACAATGCACAGTAGCCTAATTTACTGCGCATTAACATGTTTTTTGCTGTGACACTTTAATGCACAGTAAAATAGGCAACTGTGCATTAAAGCACACATATATATGCACCCAATGTGGTTGTAATTGGGGTAGGTGCTTCACTTACATGTGTTGCTGTGATACATAGCAACATTAACAGGTCCACCAGTGACTAATGTCAAATTGTGACATTGCAGTGCTTCTAGTGTTGCATTGAAACTGCTGGTAATGTCCAGTGCTAGTTATCCAGTGCTCAGAAATTCATGCTATCTCTAGAAAACTTGCAGAGAAAATATGTGAAATGTTGAATTATTATTGAAATTCATTTTTGTATAACTGCATTTTGAGACCCTTTGATTATTAAACCTGAATTTTTAAAACCCTGACTCAGTTTCTACCATGTAAACTACCTTCCTTTTGCATTTCACTTAGGCTACACAGTAAAAATAGAAAAAGTGGATACTTACCATACAGTAAATGTGGTTCTTTGATGTATTTCCTTCAATGTAAATTTAATCTAATTACCCCTACACTGAGCCCATTAACTTGTACTTAGCCAAAGTGCATCTACCAGAAAGGCATCCAGCTCTTGATCTGAAAACCTCAAGAAATAGAAAATCCACCATTTCCCTTGTTTGTTTGTTTCAGTGTTTAACAGCTGATGTTAAAGGCAATTTGGTTCTGACTGTAGATACACATGAACCTCATATAAGTGAGACTGGAATTTTTGGACTAGCAGCATTTGCCAGGTCTGTTTGTGCATTGAGTATCTCCTTGCGCTCCTAAATAACAAGCATAAGTGACAGTGTGGCCTGCATAAGTCAAAGCCTGAGGTAGCTAAGGACTCTGAAAAAGGGTAGGAGGGTTGACTCAACACTTCAAAGAACCATAGTGTCATTTTGAGTACATCACTGAGGATAAAACTGCAGGTGACTAGTCTTCCTGGGCAATGAGAGTAGCAAGTCCCACTTGTACCATGCAGACACTTTGTAATGCAAGAAGTGACTGGAATTACTACTCTTCCAAATCTGACATCTCTCTTGGCCACCAGGTCCAGGACTTAGTATTCTACAAAGGCCGTATCTACATGAGATGCTGACTGGACAGTTGTTATTGCAGTTATTTAGTACTTGTATAAACACTTGTATATAAGTACTTGTATAAAGTACTGTATAAACAAGTACTAAAGCACTGCACAATAACCTGACTAACCTGAGTTACTGTGCAGTACGGCCAACAAATGTCTTTTTTGTGACACTACTGCACAGTAGCCTAATAATACTGTGCACTAGTGTCACATCACAGTTGTTGCCACACGATGCTACTGTGCAGTAGTATTGGGCTACTGCGCAGTCGATGTCTCACATAGATGTGGCCAGCATGACTACAATACTCTACTCTACAGCCCTGCAGATCTCTGAAATCAGAGCACATGCTAGATGCAACCCATGTTTGGGCAGGATGTATCTTCATGTTCAGAGAGAGAGGTTTGCCAGCCAACTGATAGCAGATGGAAAGGCACACTGCATGATCTACTTGGAACTTCTCTGCAACAAGATGGTTTGTCTTTTATACAACCCAAAAACAGCCACAGCCTTATCTAAACTACACAGCAGGTTCCACCCTTGAGAGGCCTGAGCACACTCCACCTATCCGCACCCGCAGGCAGAGAGACAATGACACAGGCAGACACATCCCTCTGCATCTACCCTCAGTCTCCAGTATGTGTGAAAGCAACCAATATGGATGAGCACAGAGGGCCCTCATTGGTAAACTTCTAGGTTTGGGGTATGTTGGCAAGCACAGGTAGGCAAAGCATGTTAGTACCAGGACCTACAGCAGCAATAATGCAAAATGGTGGGTAGGCACCCAAAGAGACCAAGGCTTACAGTGTAATTCAGTAAAACTCAGGATATATCCAGAGTGTGCATTTTCTTCTCTCCCAACATACAACCCAGCTTAATGAAGGAACCTGGCAGTGAAATTAGTTGATAAAGGTGAATACCCTAGACTACCATAGAAGTTAATATAAAATGCAGTTCGAGCACCAACCCTGTCCCTGTGAAAGATGGTGGCACTTCTGTCCCACAAACTAACTATGCCAGATATCGGCAAACTGTAACTCAGCAAGCTGCTCTGCACACACTGCCTCCTGAAGTGGAAGCAACATCGCCTCATTCAGGCAGCTCTGTGGGCAAGCTATTTGGTAGGCCTGTGCAAAGCAGCAAGTATTCACTTCAGATTCAGATTCAGCTGATTCAGAGAATCATAGAATCATAGAATCAATGGGTCGGAAGGGACCTAAACAGATCATCTAGTCCGACCCCCTGCCATGGGCAGGAACGAGCACTGGGGGTGGGAGGGGTCA